TTTTTTTAAAGATGACCGGTAAGGGGATCTCAACCCTTGGCTTGGTGTTGTCAGCACCACGCTCAGCCAGTGAGCAAACCGGCCATCCCTATATGGGATCCGAACCCGCGGCTCTGGTGCTGTCAGCACCGCACTCTCCCGAGTGAGCCACGGGCTGGCCCCTGGTGTTGTATTCTTAAGTCCAGGAATGGTGGATCCTGTTTCTGGTGCTATCAGCACCGCACTCTCCTGAGTGAGCCACGGGCTGGCCCCTGGTGTTGTATTCTTAAGTCCAGGAATGGTGGATCCTGTTTCACTAGAAAGAATAGGTGGTGCACCTCACAGTTTATATCCTTTTCCTTTGCACACTTACTGCTTATCAAACTCACTATACTGTACACTTCTTACTACTCATATGCTGCTTTCTTACAATATACTTGTAATTTTTACCATGGAATTAGCCTAGAAAAATAGTGATTCCCACGGTATCTCTAATGTGTGTTAAGCACCTTTTTCTTGCTCCTTCTTAGCACCATTAGAAGGCTTTCCTGCGCTGATGCCCAAGCTGACTTTGAGAAGAGACCTATAATTATAAAATCTTTATTTATTTATCCAGTAGGCTTTGATTGCCTGGGATGATGAATGTCTCCCATCACCACTTTCTTCATTGCTTGCAGATGTATTATTATTATTGCTGTTAAATATATTTGACAAATAATAAAAATAATTTTGAAATAAATTTATCAATTTCCTTCACTTTCATCATTGCATTCTGTAGTGTCTTTTTTTCTGGTTTTTAAGAAAGTGTAAAAATTGGCTTTATTATTATTTGTGATATTTCAACTAAAAACAGTAGTAGGGGGTATACTTTTGTTTGTTAACAATGCATGTCATATACCAGGAATCTGAACATTATTTTAATCTCTGAACAGAAACCAGCCAAAACACTTACATCCGTTACTTGCAAATCATTGAAGTCCTCAGATGAAATGCTTGAGATTGCCAATGACTTGAGAAAGACAGGGCTTTTCTGCTCTATTAATTGTTTCTCTGCATACAATAAAGCTAAGATGGAATCTTCTACAGGTAATGTTTGTTTAGCAAATGCAGAGGTTTGGTAACTACTGAGGAATATTACTACTTTGCTTTAATTTATAACCATATCTCACTTACAAATTAAACTGACTGACTTAAAAGTCAAAACAATCCAAAACTCGTTGCAAAGAACAGTTGTCCAGTATTTTTGTATAAAAGGGAGGCTACTTCACCACCAAATATTTAATACTTATTGGTAAAGATTATTGTATTGGATTGATACAAATCTCATTTTAAGAAAAAAAATTAGGGATATATGTCTTTAGATTGTTCAGATCCTTTCATAAATGAATGTATGTAGTATGTTTACATTGATATGTATTGAGCACCTACTACAGGGCTTGGTATATAGGAGGCACTCAGTCAGTATTGAGTTTATGCAATATATTGATGATAAGAATGGTTCTATTACAATATAGAATGTACTTAGCCCTGCTTTGTAAAGACAAGGCTTTAAGTTTTTCACACAAAGTATAGGTAGTTAGAAATGCTTTAAGGTGTGCTCATTGAAAAGCACAAATAATCCAAGACCAATATCAAAGAGCTTCATGTAGAACCAGTGATGGTATTTACACAGACAATAGGGTAAATGATGCCCCTAGATTTTGTACATCATACACACTGGCTTTTTACAGAAATCTCTACAATACTAGCTTGGATACCAACCTACCTCTGTTGGTGTTTATGAATCCTGGAAAAGTTAGAAATTGATACCCATTAAGAGATTCCATAGGAATCTCTTTTCTGTTTTCCAAGGGTAATTTCACGGTAAAAATCTGATCATAATTTCAAGCAAATAGTATAAAAGGTCTGAGAAATTGTGTGCAAAGACAAAAGATATAAAATGATGGGGAAGTATAAATTATCAGTTTAATGTTGTTAATAATATTACACTAAAGAACCTGGCTATTCTTAAGCCCTAATAAGAATTGCTCCAATACCCAGCAATACCTTAAGCTATTAGATATTTACATTGTTCCTTGAAACACTTACGTAACAGTGCTTTCTGACTGATTCTGCTTAGTTTATAAGTAATCTTTTTGTTTATATTTATTAGTAAATGTTTCCAGAGTGCATGATGTTTTAAGAGAGCTCCTTTCTCCAAAGAAAGATACAACTCCAGTTATAAGCAATATAGTATCATTGGCAGACACTCATGATGCCCTGCCTATCATGGACACTGATGTCTTACAAGGTAAAAGTTGATGTTTAGATATTTGATGTAAACACTCTTTTGTCATACTTGATGAGTCTACCTATGTGTTAAATTTTCTTTTGGTTTTCCGACATGAAATAAACAATTACAGTTTATGATGCTATTTTATAGATTATAGTATAAGATTTTAATTTACGCTCTAATTCATTTTAACAGGTACAGTTTCTACATTAATGGCAAATGTCATTGTGGATGTAAGTTTTATCTTAATTTTGCTACTGTCTTTTATAAGCAGATTTTATATATATAATTATATATAAATATAAATAAGAATGTTTAAACAAAAGTATTATTAGTCATTTTTTCCTCAGGGGTCTTCTTTTTTTAATACTTATTAAGCAATTCTAGTTATTTGAGCAATAAAAATTATTTTTATTACAGTTACATACCAAAAGATTCTTTAAACATTTAGTGCTGGATCGAAATTGCCAATAAATAAGTTATAATTGTTAATGTTTCCATCTAGTGGAGCTCATACTGTATATCACCCATTGATTTTGCTGTGTTATTAGATGTGTTCAATATTTTAATTTATTATTTGAAAACTGTTAAAACAAGTGTTATTTTATCATTTCTCCCAAAGATTTCTAAGAGTTCACCCAGTGAATCAAGTAGTGGTGTTGCTGATAGTAGTAGTATGGAAGAGCCAAGCCTTTCACCGTCTTCATCAATACTCAGTCAGCATACAATTGGTTCCAAAATAGAAGCACAAAAACATAACATGTCAAACCAGGATCCTGTATACAATGTGAAATCTGTGACAATAAACGATGGACTCTGTCACCCAAAATTTACATCCAAAGTACAAAAAGTTAAAGATAAATCACGAAATATTAAAAAATCTTGGTGTTCAAATTTTCAGCATTTGGGAAACAGTATTAGAAAAGATACGATGTTCTGTTATTCGTGCCAGTTGTTCTGCCAGAAAAATTTTAGCTATGGAGGAACCCAGATTAGAAATTGGAAAAAAACTCTGCAAAATTTCAGAAAGCATGAAAAAAGTGAAATGCATTTGAAATCTTTGCAGTTTTGGAGGGAGTACCAGTTTTGTGAGGAAGCTGTCAATGAAAATTTGTCTATTCATTCAAAACAGATTGAGGGAAATAAAAAATACCTAAAGCTTATAATTGAAAATATTTTATTTCTTGGAAAGCAGTGTTTACTCCTAAGAGGAAACGACCAGTCTATTTCATCTGTGAATAAAGGAAATTTTTTAGAATTGTTAGAAATCAGAGCAAAAGATAAAGGAGAAGAAATATTTCGACTTACGAATTCACAAGTTGACTTCTACAATAGTACACAAATTCAAAGTGATATTATTGAAATAATAAAGACTGAAATGTTGCAGGATATTGTGAATGAAATCAATGATTCCTCAGCCTTTTCAATAATATGTGATGAGACAACTGATAGTGCCACTAAAGAACAGCTTTCAATTTGTGTAAGATACCCACAAAAAACATCAACGGCTATCTTAATTAAAGAAAGATTCTTGGGTTTTGTTGATATTGAAGAGAGGACTGGGACCCACTTACATAGGACTATTAAAACTTATCTGCAGCAAATTGGAGTTGATTTGAATAAAATATATGGACAGGCCTATGATAGTACCATTAATTTGAGGGTAAAATTTAATAAAGTTGCAGCAGAATTCAAGAAGGAAGAGCCAAGAGCTTTATATATACATTGTTATGCACATTTCTTAGATTTAGCAGTAATTAGGTTTTGTAAAGAAGTAAAAGAACTCCGAAGTGCTCTGAATACTCTTAATTCTTTGTTCAACACTATTCATATGTCTGGGGAATTATTGGCACATTTTCAAAACATTTGTAAGCTGAGGCAAAACAAAACATGCAGGAAACATACATCACAATCATGTTGGACAGTCCATGATCATATGTTACTATCCGTGATTGACAGTCTTCCAGAGATTATTGAAACACTGGAAGTTATGTCAAGCCATTCTTCAAACACAAGCTTGGCCGATGAATTGAGTGATTTGTTGACACTGGTTTCCAAATTTGAGTTTATTTTTTGTTTGAAATTTCTTTATCGAGTGCTAAGTGTTACAGGAATTCTTTCCAAAGAGCTTCAAAGTGAAACCATAGACATTTTTTCTTTGTCTTCAAAAATAGAAGCAATTTTAGAATGTTTATCATCTGAAAGAAATGATGTGTACTTCAAAACTATCTGGGATGGAGCAGAGGAAATATGTCAAAAAATAACCTTTAAAGGTTTTGAAGTTGAAAAACCTTCTCTTCAGAAAAGAAGAAAAATTCAGAAAACAATAGATCTTGGCAATTCAGATAGTACGTTTTTTCCTACATCAACAGAAGAACAGTATAAAGTTAGTATTTATTACCAAGGATTAGATGCTATATTACAGAATTTAAAATTATGTTTTTCAGAGTTTGATTATTGCATAATGAAACAAATTTCAGAACTGTTATTTAAATGGAATGAACCATTAAATGAAGCAACAGCCAAACATATTCAAGAATTTTATAAACTTGAGGCAGACATTGTCCCAGAACTTAGATTTTATCGGCAGTATGCCAAGCTCAACTTTGTCATAGATTATGATTGCATTAACTTTATCAATCTTGGCTATTTGTTTATTCAGCATGGTCTGCACAATAATATTCCTTGCATTTCAAAGCTATTGTATATTGCTTTGTCTTGGCCATTTACTTCAGCCAGTGCTGAAAATTCATTTTCTATACTGCCTCGTCTTAAAACATATTTATGTCATACCATGGGACAAGAGAAGCTTAGTGGCCTGGCCCTAATGGCTGTTGAGCAGGAATTGGCAAATAAACTGATGGAGCCTGAAAGACTCAATGGAATTCTGGAAAAGTTTATCAATCAGGTGAAAGAAATATAATACTTGCTAATTTGAACTTGCCTAAAAGAATTTTTTATTTCTATTGGAATTTTTATTTCAAAATTATGTGTCTTAAGAAAAACTTTTTTTTTTTTTTGTCCTTTCTGAGACCGACCGCACCATGCTCAGCCAGTGAGTGCACAGTGCACGGCCATCCCTATATAGGATCGGAACCCGCGGCGGGAGGGCTGCTGCACTCCCAAGCGCTGCACTCTCCTGAGTGTGCCACGGGCTCGGCCCAAGAAAAACTTTTTTTCAACAGAACATATAACATGGTTTGGAATTCAAAAGACAGAATGATATACAAGTGAAAAGTCTCCTTCGTCCTTTAGTACTCAGTTCCTCCTTCCTAAAGTGTTATTTGTTCCTTAAATATCTTTCGAGATATTTTTCATAATGGTACTGTACAGTACACACTGTTCTTCAGCTTGTCCTTTTTACATAATGTGATATTTTTGAGATTGTCCCATATTAGTATATGAAGAGTTTCTTGATTGTTTTTTTACAACTGAAGACTTCATTGTATGAATATACCATAATATAATTGAGTGGTTCATACTGACAGACATTTTCATTCTTTTTAATCTTTTGGTATTATAAATAATGCTTAATTTAATAACCTGTACGTAGGTCACATTGCACATGAGTGAGTTTCTGTAAGATAAAATCTAAAAGTAGAATTACTACATCAGAAGATGTGTACATTTTTATTTTTGATGCATATTAGCAAATTGCTTTCTATCAAAATTGTGCCAATTTACAGTCCCCAACAATGCATAGATCATGTTATCAAAATTTTGATCTTTGCCAGTCTGTTAGTTGAAAAATGGTATTTTAATCTCAGTAGAGTTTTGTATTAAGAATAAGGTTGGGTATTTGTTTGTTTGAGCCATTTGTATTTCTTTCTGTGTATCTGTTTTGCTTAAACATTAAATTTCTTTTTTTTTTGGAATAAACATTAAAATTAAATATTGCTGTGTTTTTGGTTTATACATCACAGCTGGATGACACATAGAAATTATTAAGCTACTTTATGAAAATATGACTTTTTCAAATCAATAACCCTAAAAGAAAGGACTCTTTTCTTATACTTTCGGAAAGTGTAATAAAGGAAATCTGTTCCTCAAAGATTTGAAAGAATTTAGTGGTATTAATCCTTTCTCTGTTTAAATGGAAATTTTATATTGTTTCTGATTTGCACTTTTATAATACTCCAGTGAACATTTTTATGTGTTATGCACTTGTGCATTCAATAAACATTTATTAAGCAAGTACTGTATACCAAATACTATTCTGACTGCTGGAGACCCAGCAGAGAATTTAATAAGATAAGGCCATGACTCCAATTGAACTTAGTTCTCAAACGTGGAAACCTAATAAAGATACTAGAAGAAGAAATTATCTGTGAACTCTTTCCATGTACATAGATGATAATAGAGAAAAGAATATTTGCATGCTGCACTAGGATAAGATGTGGCCATTTAGGACCTCAGCCAACCAACCATCCCTGACCCACTAGTTGGGAAGGTCTGCTCTAGGGTACTTAACCTAGAAGTGAACTTGGTGGGTAAAGGCTATATACACCTTTCACTTTTTTTTTTTTTTTTTTTTTTCCTTTTTGTCTTTTTTCGGTGGGATCCGAACCCTCAGCGGGAGCGCCACCACGCTTCCCAAGCAGCACACTGTAGCAGTGTGCCACCGGGCCAGCCCTACACCTTTCACTTTAATTATATCTTGAGTATATAATTTTTCCATTCTCACCAACAATATATGAGTGTCTCTGTTGCTCTGCATAGTTGCCAATATTTGATATTGTCATTCTACTTTTTTAATTCATTGATTTCTACTGTAAAAAGAAAAAACAAAAGGCAAAGTTCAAGAGAGTGATATTGAATATTAGAGGACCCAATATCTATTTATTAGAAATCTTCAAAGAAATCCAAAGCAGTGGAAAAAACTAAGACTGTATAGCAACCCAAAGCATTATAAAAGCAAATACTAAAAACTATATATTCCAGTTAATCTCTTGTCTCAGCTTCACACCCACCCTTCTCTACTATGTGGTAGTGAAGCTAGAACTCTGCGAACCACATTTCTGCTCCTTTAGCTGGATCTACATGAACTTCTGCCAGTTGGGGGCTATGATGGTTAATTTTAGGTGTCTACTAGATTAAGCAATACCTAGAAACCTGGCAAAGTGTTATTTTGGGGTGTGTCTGTGAAAGAGTTTCCAGAAGAATTAGCAATGTAAACCTGAGTTGAACCACATTTCTGCTCCTTTAGCTGGATCTACATGAACTTCTGCCAGTTGGGGGCTATGATGGTTAATTTTAGGTGTCGACTAGATTAAGCAATACCTAGAAACCTGGCAAAGTGTTATTTTGGGGTGTGTCTGTGAAAGAGTTTCCAGAAGAATTAGCAATGTAAACCTGAGTGGACTAGGTGGAAAAGATCTGCCCTGAGTATGGGTGGGTACCATCCAATCTGCTGGGGGCCCAGAGAGAACAAAAACAAGAAAAGGCAGATCTGGAGCTGGGATAAACTCTTCTCTCCTGTCTGTGGGCATCAGAACTTTGAGGCTCTTCAGCCTTTGGGTTCCAGGACTTATGCCAGCAGCACTTCTGTCCTCTCAGGCCTTTGGCCTCAGACTGAGAATTACACCATCAGCTTCCCTGGTTCTGAGACTTCTGGACTTGGACTGAGCCACACCTCTGGCATCCAGTTTGCAGATGGCCTATATCATGAGACTTCTCAGCCTTCATAATCATGTGAGCCAATTCCCGTAATAAATCCCCTCTCATATATTTATCTACATAGCCTGTTGGTTCTCTCTCTGGAGAACCCTGACTAATACAGGGCACTAGAGAGAGACTACAAGGCTGGAAAAGAAAAGATTTGTTGCTTCCTCCTCTGCTTCCTGTGGGCTTCATGCCTACTTTGTGTTTCTTGTATCATTCCAGTGCTGCTGCTTCATCCTGGCAGTAGTACTTCCTTCCCTAGCAGCAGCTGAATCCAGCTTGCACCTTTTACATCATTTGCAGAACCAGATTCATCATGCCCCCTCCCTGCTCAGAGACATCCTCACCAGCCAGCCAGCATTCCCTTTTCAGGGGTCTAGGTCTTAGGCCCAGGCTCAGAAACTGGCATCAACATTCCTGAGAGGTCTAACTTCCGGCCCCATGAGGCCCCTCTGCATTTCAATATTCCTATCTCCTTTCTTTGTTCCCTCATCACTGTAGATTTTAGCTGCTACCTTCATCACACCTTGGTGTTTTCTTTTTATTCTTCTAGTAACCTAATTAACCTTATACTTAGTTAATATGTTTTCATATTCTCTCTGTTCCAATAACTAGTATGGCTTCTCTCTCCTAACTGGACCCTGGCTAATGCACTGTAATTCAAGAGAACTTGCTTGAAATTAAAAAGGCTTGAAACGGTATGTTGAAAAGACAAACTGTATGCTTAGGAACACTGACGCAGAATGGCCATCACTGAGTCATGGCTCAAAAATTTTTAAATCATTTAATTTTAAAGCAAAAAAAAAAAAATCCTTTTGGGCCGACCCCGTGGCTCACTCGGGAGAGTGCGGCACTGGGAGCACCAAGGCCGCGGGTTCGGATCCTATATAGGGATGGCCGGTGCGCTCACAGGCTGAGCTCGGTGCGGTCGACACCAAGCCAAGGGTTACGATCCCCTTACTGGTCACACACACACAAAAAAAAAGGCTGAGCTCAGTGCGGTCGACACCAAGCCAAGGGTTACGATCCCCTTACTGGTCACACACACACAAAAAAAATCCTTTGAGAATCAATACAATCCAGTCACAAGGGAAAGTAAATCTGATTACTTTCATAATTTTTCTTAACAATGCTTTGTGCCAGAAGACAATGAAGTAGCATGAAGTTACTCAGGATCTTATAAGCAACCAACTTGTGGCTTTTAAGTAAAAAAAGCCACATGCAAACTATCATCTTGGAACATTGTTTTCATGACCTCTACCTGAAGAACGTACTAGAGAATGAGGTTCAGATCACTAGATTGACTGGAGAGGCATTAGAATGAGGAATGATAAAGTATTGCAGCAATTACATGAAGGAATGATAAAATTGGAATATTACCCTTTGAATTAATGGATCTAGGCAATGATCATTAACAACTGCTGATATCATTAAAAGACAACCAGCCGTTGTGTACTTTCTAATGGACATCAGCACTAGCCGAGCAGTGCGTCCTTCTCGGAGAGGTCTGAATTTCAGTTCTATATGAGCATTCTTCCTGTTTTGCTAATCCCAACTCTTCCCTTTTCTCCCCGATCCTAGAGATGGCAGCTGCTTCCTACGGTTGGTGGTACTATAATACCTCAGTGCTTCTTTTTGCCTTTTTAGTTCTACAGTACCTAGTTAACAATTCTCTCTGTTCAAATAAGTCCTGTGGTTTCGGTCTCCTGACTGGACTCTGACTGATACAGCACCACCCATGAAGTAATCTTATCAAAATAATTCAATCTTTAATCTCATCAAGACCCCAAAACTGCTAGTTTACTAGAAATCTAGGAGGACAGAGAAACATTTTAACACATCATTGGGATGTAATCAGCAAAAGCCAAATCCTAGGAAACTGTACAGGGTAAACAACACTGTTTCTTTAACAAAAACCTACAAGGAAAAATAAAGACATGGCAGAGGACCCTATAGATTAAAAAAAGTGGGAGTCGTGCCAGCAAATTGCATGGTGTGGACCTTGGATCCCACTTTAAACAAATGTGAACATTGACAGGATATTTGCTAATATTTAAAGAATTGTTCATTATGAGTGCATAATAGTGACATTGTGTTTTTTGGGGGTTTTTTAAGTCACTGCCTTTTGGAGATAAATGCTTCAGGAATTAGTGGGTGAAATAATATGATGTCTGGGGCTTCAAAATAATGTGGTGTAAGAGAGGGAATGTGTGAGGGTCCAGATGAAACAAGATTGGTCACGATATGACAGTTGTTGACATTAGGTGCTGGGCACACAGGAATTCATTACATTGTTCTTCAATTTTAGTATATAGTTGAAAATTTCTATGAGAAAATTTTTTAAA